AAATATTGTGCCATCTTATATAAGGGAATCGAGCACCTGCAGATCTTAGTAACTGTGGAATTCCTGGAATTAGTCACTTACTATACCAAGGGATGGTGACTATATTTCAGACTTAGTTCTCAGGATGTAATTATGGCTCTGTTTATAGTTTTCGGGCCTTAGATCCCCTGGAGCTGGGCTTACAGGCTGTTGTGAACTGCCTGATGAGGGAGCTGGGAACTGAATTTGCATCCTCTACAAAGTAGTATGTGCTCTTAATCAATGAACCATTTTCCCAGCCCTAACACCAGTTTTGATCATTATTATAATTCCCCAGACTCATTTAAGTTGTTCCTGCTGATGGTTGCTAAGAAGCATTCCGTATTGTATATATAGCTTACTGTATTTAACCTTTCACCTCTTCTGCTAGTTTTCACATTTTAATTATTACACCAAAACTACAACAAGCTTGCTTGTACAGGTTTTTATATGAATATGGTTTCTCTTTGGGATACGTTTTCCTAGAGAGCAATTGCAAAGTTGCATAGCAGTTATATGTTTAATCTTACCAGAAAATGCCTGACTTGTAGAATGGACATACCACTCTACATTGCCACCAGCAATATATGAATGACCCAGTTTCTGTTTCCTCATTAGCATCAGTCTTGTCCCTAATTATTTTTAGCCATTCTGATACATATGTAGCGATACCCCATTGTGGTCTTGATTCACATTCGTTTAATGGCTAACACTGAACATCCTTCCTGACCTTCCTAGCCAGCTGCATATCCTCCCTAGTAAAACGTGTTTGTCTTTTCTCCATTGTCTAATTGTACACTTCATGCCATTGTTTTCGTTTACCAATAACTTTGAAGACATCTTTATATATCCTAGAAACCAGCTCTTTGTCCACAATGTGGTTCACAAATACTTTCTCCCTGTGTGTAGTTTACCTTTTTATCTTCTTCATATGGTATTTCCAGAGTGAAAGATTTTCATTCTGACGAAGTTCAGTTTATGAATAGTTTATCTTATGGGCATGCTTGTGGTATTTAACCTAAAAACTTTTTTGCCTTACCCCAAATCTGGAATATTGTCTTGTAGAGTCAGGTATAGTGGTGCACACCTCTAAACCCCAATGCTTATGAGGGGAACACAAGAGGACTGTGAATTCCAGGTTAGTCTTATGAGGCAGATGTAAGAGGATTGCGAGTTCCAGATCATTCTGAGTTACTTGATGAGCTCAGGGTCAATCTATAATCTATGGTGAAATTTTGTCTCAAAAAATGGGAAAAAAATTTTTTAATGGAAAAAAAAAGATTTTTTTCTTTTAAAAATATTTTATTGAATTTTGTGGATTACATACATTTTAATCATATTCAGCCCTCTCTTCCACATTTGTGGCCCCATAGCCTGCCCACAGGACTTCATGCATTTTGTCATATATGTTATGGTCTATTGAGTCAAGTCTGTATACACAGATGTCCCTCGGTGTGAGTTTACCCACTGCAACCTGTTCAGTCTGTCTAGTATCACTCCCTTAAGAATATTAACTCTCCCTCATCCAGCAGCAATCAGCAATCAGCAGCAATCAGCTGCCAATATGGCCTCCTGCCCAGGCTAGGCTGGCCTGAACTCTGCATAGTCTGCATATCCACACACACAGTTGGGTTCCTTCTGCCTCAGCCTGTTGCATGGTGGTTAGATCCGTTTTCCTTATAGGAATGACTATTAAGAACCAACTTTGAGGATGCTATTTGGTAACCCCAGCACTTTGGTATAAGGCATGAGAATGTGAGTTGGATTTCATCCTGCCTTCTCTAGTAGGAACTGTTTCAAAATAATCAACTGACTAATTAACTAAGAAGTAACCAACAAAAATTGAAAACTACTGATATTAAAATATTTATTTTTACTGCACCTTCAGAGGACCATGTTTCCCAGGTTTTTATTTTGAGGACCCAGTCTCTCTTTTTCTAAAAGTTTTATGTTTCAATTTCATACTTAAATCCATGATCCATTTATCCTTTTGGATTAATTTTTGTATAACATATGAGCAAATGGATATTACTATTATCAAATCATTTTGATTTTACAGATGGAAAAACCTAGAGAGATCTAGGAATGTGGCTAAGGACCAACTAATGTTAAGTAGAAAACGAGCAAGGGTGTGATGCTGCAGATCTGCCTGACTCAGTGCTCTAAGAGCTGCTGCTATTTCCTCCTCTTCCCTCCTTCCTTCCCTCCTTCCCTTTCATTCTGTCTCTGTCTCCCCCCCCCCTCATTTCCCAGGCTCTACTGCCCCAGCTTCCACATGTATTCCTTTATGGTGACCAGCCTTATCCTCATCTCAGCACACAGGCTACCAGAGGTCAGAGCCTGTCCGAACATGCCTGGCTTGTCCTCTGTGACAAGTTCTCAGGGTGGAAAATGGGGGCAGGTAGGGGAAGGTCCCTGTATGCAAATAACTTGTCCTTCTGGTTTGGGGAAAGTCTCCATGGGATTTCAGCATTGCCCAGCTTGTTAGAGAACTGCTGGGTCAGTTCATAGATCTCTGGGAGTGACTGGCTGAGAAATTTAGGTTACAAAAAACAATCACATACATGCATGCAAAAGTCATTTAATGATGAATGGTAAGTTCAGAAAGCTTCCATCCTTAATTTACCCAAATAAAAAACACTGATAACAGTTGATAGGAAGGCTTCTGGACCTCTTTGAAGCAAAAAATCCTGGTCTAGAACATGTTTCTTCTTCCTTTTTGTGAGTGTGGTCAGTTGTAATCAGACTGTAACCATCATATCATCAACTCCTACTCCTGACTTTCATGGACAGTTTCCCCACAGCTCTCTCTTCCTGGCCCACTGGTTATGGCCTTCTCAAAGAGACTTCAGCACTCAGAATGCTTGAGAGAAGCAGTGTCTGGGTTGGCTTTTCTCTTTCCTGAGTCCCTCACCTTCAGTGCCCTGACTCATTGGGGATGTACAGAAGTTCCTTGGCTTCTGTGACCAGGCACCCGGGAAGGTCACCTCTCTTAGAGCTCATCCAAAGACTGCTAGACTTTTGTTCTGACCCACATTAGGGAGACAAAAAGAGGTGGGCATGCTCTCAGGACTCCACTGTCTATAACTAATGCTTACCCACTTTGCCTGATGCCCCAGGGGCGCTTGAACTCCCAGCTGGCCTGTTTCAACAGGTGGCTCAGCAGTAACACACAAACTCCTGCGGTCCCTGCACCTCTACCCTGGTGAGAAAATCACACAGGTGTTTAACCTGGCCTCCCTGCAGCCTACCTGGAGTCCTGGGTGTTCCCTCTTCCTGGGATGATGCTTCCTCCAGTGGGAGTCTCTACTTGGAGCACTGGCAGCATCCAGGTTTGGTTTTTTTGTTTTTGTTTTTGTTTTGTTTTGTCCCTGGAGAGCCACTGCTGGTATAACCGGGCCAGGGAAGTACTGAACTGATTCTGGTGGTTTGTCTCCAGGCCTTTCTGCAGTCACCTAGGTTGGTCTTGTAGAACGGCCCAGTTGTAGGTCTGAGTCAGACTTCCTCAGGGCCAAACCATTCGTATTTCCAGTCTCCATGCTCACCCCCCTCCCCCAGCAGGAAGGATGTGAACCAGGACTGGGGCCTTCCCTCTGACATCATTTTAGAGATGTATGTCCTGCTCTGGATGTAGTCCCCATCACCTCCACTCTCTTCTGGGGAACACAACACTTCCTCTCCTTTCTCCCATATTCTTAAAAGGTCCCCCTACCTTCCACATACACCTCCACCCCTCCCACACATAGCCCATTTCCTCAGGAATCAACACTTCAATATCAATCATCACTTATTCTAATAGCTATGTGAACATGGTCTACTTACTATTTTCATGGCCAGTTCTATCATCTATAAATAGGGAGATGCTGACCTCATAACACTGTTGTGGATTTAAACAAGAAACTATAAAGTACGTGAAGTAGGCAAAGCAGCTACTGATCCTGGAACAAAGTTAATGATCAGTTAATAGTGGTGGTCACTGATCCCCATGACAACTGTCTCCAGGCCCGATCTTCAGTCCTTAATTATTCATCCTGGAGGGTACATGTAAAATGTTATGGAAAGAGCAAGTTGTCCAGTTTCCACTGAAACTCATTCACCTTTCCATTTCTTAGGAGTCTGGGGAGTTTATGCTATACATGAGGGACTCTACAGATTTGTACCAAAGGTCTTTCTTCTGGTAGGTGGATTTTTCAATCTTGAACTTGGCTACTGGAAAGGTTCCCTAGTGCCTGCCCTGCTGCAAATGACAGACAGCTATCCCTGAGTGCTGTAGCTCCCAGGGCAGTCCCAGCCTCTAGACAGGGACCCACCCATGCAAGGAGGAGAGCTCCTAGCAGGCAGGAGTCCAGTTTATCCCCTACCCTGTTCCACCTAATCCTCCTTGATGAGCTTGAACAAGCCAAGACTGGTTAACAAACAACACTAACAAAGGGAGCATTGAAACAATAAGGCAGATTCAGATCAGAAAAGTCTGTACCCCCACCTCCTTCCACCCCCACCCCACCCCCAATTTCCCGGGTGAACCTAGGACTCAGGCTTCCACACTTGAGCACTTCCTGAGTCCTCTGTAAATGAGCAGCATGAAGGCATAAACCAGCAGGCTTCCACCCAACGCTGGAAAGCGATGACATAGGCCAGCCTTTCTACCTGCACTCTGGCTTCCAGTCTGCTACAAGTCTCTGAGCAGCCCCCTAGCGCACCCAGGTTGAGCTGGCTGAGACTGGGGAAGGATGGGCTGCTACAGAGGGGTATCCCTTCCTCCTAGACCAGCTCCCTCCACCCCTACAGGAGCCTCAGGCGCTGAGCTGCCTGGGCCTGCACAGGCAGGGAAGGAGGGAGGGCTGGCTCACCTCCTCATCTCCACCCTCCCAGACCCGACGAGCAGGAAGCAGAGGCTCCTGGGCCAACCCCCTCGCAGTCCCAGCTCATTCATAGTGTGGGAGTACGCAGAGCTAGGGAGGGCTGGGTGGCCTGGCAACATGATGGCCATCAGTCCCATGGAGCAGAGTTTGGGCAGCCTCACCATCTTCACCCGCGAGGACTTCGAGGAAGACTGGCGCCGAGTAGCCAGCGGTGGCTTTGGCCAGGTGTTCCAGGCGCGGCACAAGCGCTGGAGGACCCAGTACGCCATCAAGTGCTCCCCCTGCCTCCAGCAAGAAGCCACCAGGTAGCTGACTCCTTGTCCATGTTCCACAGGGTAGAGACAGGGCAAGTCTCCTAGAGGAAGGGATGGCCCGGGGTTGAAGCTGACCCTGTCCCCAGCGCTTTTAAATGGACCTTGTAGCCTGAATTCCACAGAATTCTTTCTTTCTCTGCCTCTGAAATACAGTAGGCAAACAGCACCTGCTTGTGACAGCCCCAGAGGTCAGAAGTGAACAGCAACCACCCTGCAAAAATGCCTTTGTCTGTCTGGCCTCTTGAACTTGTCCCCTTGTACACAATGTTGCTCAGACACCCTCCTCCCCACCCCACCTTCAGGGCTGGGCTTTCTGACAGGTGTGACATTTTACTCACTGACACATAGGGAGTCATCTTCTCTTTTCCCATAGGAGCCGCTGCAGGCTGGAGAGGCTTGGAGGCTGGACACTGCCCCAGTATTTAATGCCACACCCTTGGGCTTCCACAGGGGAGAAACTGAGGCAGGGCCTGCCAAGGCTACTAGCCCTCTGACATAAGACCTACTGGAAAGTTAAGTTCAGGGTCCCATGGAGGCTGGACACTGCCCCAGTATTTAATGCCACACCCTTGGGCTTCCACATGGGAGAAACTGAGGCAGGGCCTGCCAAGGCTACTAACCCTCTGACATAAGACCTACTGGAAAGTTAAGTTCAGGGCCCCGTGAGCTCTGTCCATTTTGGTCCCTGGCTCTCATGGTGTGTATGATCACATTTTTCTCTTACTGCCTCTGACTTTGCCCTGTGTTCCTGCTGTGTGCTTTCCCTACAGGCAGAAAGGAGATACCCGGGATGTTGGGACTGAGCATGAAAGCATGTCCTGTCACAGTCTCCTAGGACATTAACTAGATGCCAGTGTGCTCTTAGCTGGATGCTATTTGTCGCATTTTCTGTGACCCGACAGCATTGCCCGACAGATGCTTTCACACTGGGTCTTTTCTCTGCCTAGACACCCTTTTCTTTGGAATAGGGCCAGATGACTCTAGGATTTGTTCAAACCATATACAGTTTTTAAAATAAGGAACATTAGGCAGACTCATGAGGTGGCTCAACAGGTTAAGCCACTTGCCACCAAGCTTGACAACCTGAGTTGGATCTCCAGGGTCCACATGGTTGAGGAGGGAACCAACTCTCACAAGTTGTCCTCTAACCTCCACACACACTGCCCCCCAATACACACACACACACAAACAAACAAACAAACAAATAAATGTTAAAAAAAATAATAAGCTGGGCGTGGTGGTGCATGCTTTTAATCTCAGCACTTGGGAGTCAGAGGCAGGGGGGGTTCTGTGAGTTCAAAGGGAGCCTGATCTACATAGTGAGTTCCAGGGGCTACAGGGAGACCCTGTCTCAAAAAGACCAAAAACAAACAAACAAACAAACCTAAATAAGAATACCTGTCTACCCTGTTAGACTATGATGATAACTCTTCCCAGTTTTTCTTCCCAAGTTCTTGAGTTTCCCTGGGTG